ATGTACCAGGGGGTGAATCCAGAATTTCTTTTTGGGAGGGGGGGGAATTGTCTTTATACTTACGACTAAATTTCCTAAATTGTAACATAACACATGAAAATTTAAAGCAACAAAAGGTAAGCTTGGCACCAGAAATAAAATAAATAAAAAAATAATTTTTAAAAACATGCTTTTCTTAATACTACTTAATAAATGAACGAAAAGGTTGAAAATAAACTTACTTTTAAAACAATTTCTTAATGAAACTTCAAGGTTAACAAGATATTACTAAAAGTGTTTATAAAATGTATTTGTTGAACAATTTTAAAAAATTCTGAATTACAAAAAAAAAGAAATTCATGGGGCACTTATGATAACTCCTACGTAAGGGCACTCTACAACTGAATCTTTAGATAAACTTTATGATAAATATTTTAAAGATTATTGATCACACCTCCAATTTTGTAAGAGATATTCCTGACTCATAAGAGCCACTATTTTAATTGACAGGTCATTATGTATAGTGTAATTCGAAACAAAGGGTTGTATCATTAGTAATTTTCCTAAGAGCAATATTCTGAAATTGTTGAATTTTGTTTTTATCGGACACTTTTATGAAAATAGATAACTTATATACTTATGATAAGTCATACGTAAAGTCACCCTACAACCGAATTTTTATATAAACTTTATGAAAAATATTTTAAAGATTATTGATCACACTCACAATTTTGTAAGAGATATTCCTGACTCAAAAGAGCCCCATGCATTTCTTTTTTTTTGTAATTCAGAATATTTTAAAATTGTTCAACAAATACATTTTATAAACACTTTTAGTAATATCTTGTTAACCTTGAAGTTTCATTAAGAAATTGTTTTAAAAGTAAGTTTATTTTCAACCTTTTCGTTCATTTATTAAATAGTATTAAGAAAAGCATGTTTTTAAAAATTATTTTTTTATTTATTTTATTTATTTTTATTTTATTTTTCGTTTCTTGATACTTTATACGAGCTCGTTCAAGGCGCCTTTTTCGTTGAGTTGCGGGCTCTTTATACATTATTATTTGTTTAGTATTTTATTATCTATACGCTTTGTCAATCTCTATGTAGGATTTTATTACTGTTTTAACAATGAAACGCGTTAAAAGTTAAAAGTAATTATTATTATAATAGTTTTATAACCCATGGAAACCGTTTATAAACAAAATTTCGTAGCTGTATATTATTTATTCTTCTTCCTCGGAGATGACTTTGCCCACCGTCATCGCCGACCTAGAAGTCCGGGTCCCAAAATAACAACGGATTATTGTAATGCCTTCCAAGACCTATGTCTATACCAATTTTCAGAATTTTTCATCGTAAATAAGTGCCTCAAATCGAGCGCGCAAGATTTGAAGACAACAGGAATGAAACATTGTGAGTTAAAGAAAAGCATGTAAAAAAAAGAAAAAATTGGATCCAAAATATTATATAGGTACATATTATAGAAAAATACATAATACAATCCTAATTTTAGGGATTTAGTGTGATGGGGGGGGGTCGCCACCTTCACTCCCCCAGAATCCAGGCCCGCCATGTACCTACATTAATTTTAAGAGCATTTATTATCATGAGGAACATTATATCAGCTGCATACCCTGCGAACAAAGTCTGTGCACGCCTATGGTTAATACTATTAATATTCGAATAGTTAATACTCTATTTACTATTTATCTAATAATCATTAATCATTACTATTATTATTATGAAATGTAATGATAGACATATTTTATAAAATATTTACTTAAGATATTTTGTGTTTATATTGTAATATTAAAAAAATATTTTTTCTCGTACCCTTAATTTTTATAGAATTGCTTCTGACCATTTTTGGAACCATTTTAGAGTCGATAAAACGATTGTATAATAACCATGGAATTGGTGTAACAGTTACACACATTTTAAAATTAGGATTAAAAATGTGTACAAATGAAATAACAATCGTTGATACTAATTTGGAGTCTTGGAGTCGGTGGGACCAATACAAGCCGGTGGCGGTACTGGCGTAACGTTACCCCAGTACCGCCAAAGGAAAATTGATTTTCCAGAGTTTGGGAAGGTGTACAAATGTTTTAATTAGGATTACAAATGTGTACAAATGAAATAACAATTATTTGCAACTGGTAGACCATTCTATAGTTAGTCCGTTTATTTGGGGTTTGAAATCATTAAAGCCTCTAGGGCGGTTGAACATGACTGCCACTGATTTTTGAGCGTTGACTTTCAGTTTCCACTTTTGGAACCAGGCCATCGCTAAGTCAATCTGTTTTTGGAGCTGAATGGCTGCTCTTGAAGGGTTTCTGTTAGTGGTTGTGAATAGGGTATCGTCAGCAAAAAGCGAGAGAGAGGCGTTACTGTTCAGTGGTATGTCATTTGTGTATGCGGAGTAAAGAATCGGAAAGAGGCAGGAGCCTTGTGGGACGCCTGCTCGTATAGGATTTGCGCTAGATATTTCATTTTCTACCCGTACAATGAAGCTCCGGTCTTCTAGGAAAGATTTTACCAGTGCTAACAGGTAGGCCGGAGTGTTTAGTTGGTGGAGTTTGTATAACAGACCCGAGTGCCATACTCGATCGAACGCTTTTTCTATATCTAAGAAGATGGCTGATGTGCGTTGTTTGTTGCTATTGTTTACTGATAGACGGTCGATTAGGCCTACCAGTTGATGGGTTGTCGAGTGATGGCTACGGAAGGCGAACTGTTCTTGTCTTATTTTGGGGCCTATTACTGCATTGGGTTTGGTGAGGATGACCTTTTCAAATACTTTTGACAGCGATGATATGAGTGAGATCGGGCGGTAGTTTGCAGGATGGCGAAGGTCTTTGCCAGGTTTTGGGATTGTGGTTATGACTGCACGTTTCCAAGATTTTGGAAAGTATCCAATACGCATGCATCCGTTGAGTATTCTCGTTAATAAGAGAACCGCGGATTTGGGTAAAAACTTTATAGCCGTGTTTGAGATGTGATCGATGCCTGGATGTTTGTACATCTTTGTACCGTATCTGGGGATGTGAAGCAGTTAGCTGAGGGAGTGGTTCTTATGTTTTGGGCAAAGTTGGCAACGTCAGGGATGGCTGGGCCAGGGTATTCGGTGAATTGGTGTTCGTAAGTAACGGCGAAGAGCTCAGCTCTGTCTTTTGCGCTGTATAAAAGAGAGTTTGGGCCTGAAAGCGGGTGAGTGGCTGGGGTTTTGTTTAGCAGCTTTTTGTTGAGTTTGAAGATGGAGTTGTCATTGATATCCAACGAGTTCAAAAACTTGTCCCATTCATCTTGTCGGTGAGTTTGCAGGAGTGTTCTTATAAATTTGATTTTACTGTTAAGTTGGCGTTTAGTTGCAGGATCACGGGTTTGTTGCCATTCGCGACGGATGCGGTTTTTCGATGCAATTTCCACAAGGATTCCATTCGGAATTTGTTGATTGTAGTGGCTTGTGGGTACGTATGAGCATGATTCGACTGTGGACGCGATGGTGTTGGACAGGTATTGGAGAGCTGAATCGATTTTTTCTGAAGTATCTGTTAGTACATTTGAGTTTAGAATTGATTTCTCAAGTAAGTTGGCATATTTTAGCCAATTTATTCTACGACTTGTATGTGGCGGTGCGGCGGTCACAGGGGAGTCTGAAATAATGAGTAGAATGGGGTTGTGATCGGAAGATAATTCATTTAAGTTGAAGACTTCAACAAGATGTAGTGGGAGTTTGTGTAGTGCTACGTCCAATATGTCTGGTCGATGGACGGGGTTATTTGGGAAGTGGGTAGGTGAGCTGGGTGCGGTAACGACGTAGTCGGAGTTTTGGGCATGGCGGTATAGAACCCGACCTGCCGGATTAACGCTGTTGCTGTTCCATAAGGGATGCTTGGCGTTTAGGTCGCCTGCAATTATAAACCAATCACAGCTGCTTGTCAGGAGGTTGAGGTCGCTTACAGCGAGAGGTGACTGAGGGCGTTTATAAACTGCAGATATTTGAATTGAGTCTGATCCTAGAGAGATCTCAACGGATGTTGAGTTTAGAGAAGTTTTTTGATGCACCTGGCGGTGAACGATGCGTCGGTGAATGATTACAGCGGTTCCACCATTTGCGGCAGTGCCCGGACGGAGTGTATTATCAGATCGATAAATGAAATAATTTGTAATTTTTAAAATAATAGTAGGTTTAAGTTTGGTTTCACTGATGAGTGCAATATCAATTTTTTCTTTGTTTAAGAGGATTTTGTGTTCATCAATTTTGTTTTTGATGCCATTGGCGTTCCAATGTATTATTCTTAGTGGCGTGTTAATCATTTTTGAGGGGGGAGAGGATGTTGATAAATGAGTTTATTGTGAGAGTCATAATTGATTTAACGTCGGTGTTCGATTCCAGCGCATTCAGCAAGTTTGACAGGAGGTTTAATACATCAGAAATGTTGATTTTATTATCATTCCTTTTTTGAGTGGTGGTTTGAGTTTTTTTAACGACGCTTGCGTATTGGGTTGGTGTGTTTTGGAGTATTGGTGTTTCCGTGATTGAGTTGTCAGAGTTTGGTGTTTGGGTTTTAACAGGAGTTTTCTTTTGAGGTGTTTTTTCTGCGAGTTTTTGTCGGTAATAAGCGCAACCTCGGAAGTTGGCAGTGTGGGTCTCGCCGCAGTTACAGCATAACGGGGCTTGTTCTGCAGTTTTTGTGCAGCTTTTTACAGCGTGTGGGCCGCTGCATTTTACGCAGCGAGGAGAGTGGCCGCAATTCGATGAACCATAGCCAAACCGTTGGCATGAAAAGCATTGTGCCGGACCAGATTTTTTGTAGGTTTCTACTTTCACCGATAAGTAAAATAAGTGGGGAAGCTCGTAGATTTCAGCTGCTGCAGGGTTTTTAGATAATGATACAAGGCAAATAGGTAGGAGTTTAGACTTGTTTCCAAACCGTCTTACGATTTTGACATCGAATCTTAAGTTGGTTAGTTCGTTACTGATGTCGTCTTCCGAAATGTCAGTTGGGATGCCTTTAATAACAACCTTCAGTGTTCGATCTTTCGGGTAGGGTAAATGTATGGAAAGTTATGGACAGGTCACGAAGAGTTTTTTGAATAAGACGGAAAAGGTCGGTGGAAGAGACTTGAACTCTGACGGAACCATCGGCAGTGATCTTGGCTTGAGGAACGTGGTTAGTAGCTTTTAAGATTGATGGGGCAGCTTTGCGCCAATCAGAAGCATTTATGATAATGGGTGGAATACGGGTGGATGGAGCGGAGTTGTTTGTTGATTTGTCTTCTGGTAGATCGGGTGTTGGAGAGCGTGATGATGATGATGGAGTACTTGGCCAGCTATCTTCGGAGTTCACGGTTTCAGATGAGGGGGTTGGTGATTTAGCTTGAGGTCGTTGAGGACCTCTTTTCAATGATGATGGATTTGACGATTTCTTTTTCCTCTTGGCCATTGCGCGAGGAGGACCGATTTCGTGTTTTAAATTGCTGTTGGATTTACCAACGCTCCGGGGCGAGACCCGGCCACGTGAAATCCCGGGTACACTTGCCTCGTGGTCGAGAGGGGGGACTAATAATGTGATACTTACGAAGTATGATGGACTGCTGGACTGGACTGGATTGGACTGGAATGGACTGGACTGGACTAGACTGGGCTGGACTGGACTAGACTGGACTGACTGATGACTGACTGGTGATGATTTGGCATATTGATGATGATTGATGATTTTGTATGAGCATGCATCCGTATATATACCCGTCGTCGTACCGACTAGTAAACCTGTATGCTGATTGGTGTGTTTACAGTCGGCACGGCTTCTTTTGTAATTTAGCCGGAATTTGTTTTACAAAGGTCAAAATGGTATCTACGTAATAGGCGTCATCTCTTCTATTCATAGATATCTTTTTCTTGTCTGTACTTAAAATATGTATTTGGAAATCAGCCTTTAAGCGTCGCCTATTTCTGATTGGTCGGGCGTTCATTTTTTGGTCACGGTAGGTCTGTGACTATATTGTAGATGTCAAATGTGGTGGCCCTGAGCAGGGTCGTTTTTGTTAGTTTGCTCCGTTACAAATGATTATTTTTAAGATTGTAAAATATTACTAATTTGTCGGTTTGCTCGTTTGAAACAAATTTATTATTATCATTAAAAATTACCTGCTGCGGTAAATCGTTATTGTTTATTACATCTCTTATCGCTGGATGCGTTATTATTTTATCATTCGAAATAGGTAAAATCATATTTTCATTATTTTGCGCGTGTTTTATACTTCCCTCTATTTCAGTTATTTTGGAATTAAAAATCGGTTTGGCTTCTGCTTTTTTAAACTCTTCGAAATCGATAATTGGCTCATCATTGGTAACAACATGTATACGTGATAAGCAATCCGCGTTCGAATGTTGTGGCCCTGCTCTATAGATTATTTCGTAATCGTATTCCTCGAGCTGTAATCGCCATCGCATTAACTGAGAATAAACTATTGAATAAATACGTTAATGGACGGTGATCGGTGATTATTTTAAATTTTTTCCCGTATAAATAAGGCCTAAAATACTTTACAGCCCATACTATCGCTAACAATTCTTTTTGTATTACGCTATAGTTTGTTTCGGCGGTATTTAGAGTTCTACTTGCGTAAGCTATGGGTTGATCTTTAGGTACGTCGCCTTGAGACAAGACCGCTCCAATTGTGTATTGGCTTGCATCGGTCATGAGGTTAAAATTTCCGTTTTTCCAATTAGGGTAGATAAGTAGAGGTGGATTCATTAACGCGTCTTTTAATTCTTGGAATGCGTCTTCACACATGTCCGTCCACACGAACGGTGTGTCTTTCTTTAATAAGTTAGTAAGAAGTTTGGCAAAGTTATCAACGAATCGGCGGTAATAATTTAATAAACCTAAGAATGACTTTACGTCTTTCTCGTTTAGTGGTCTCGGATATTCTTTAATACAACTTAATTTGTTTGGATCAGGCGTTACCCCGTTTTCGCTTATAACGTGCCCTAAATATAATACCTCTTTACGTAGAAACATACATTTACTAGGTTGCAATTTCAGTTTATGTAGTCTTAATCGCGTAAACACCTGCTCTAACCTATTCTGATGATCTACTAAACTTGACCCGTGTACTGCAATGTCATATAGGTACGCCGTACATAACTCTTCCAAGCCCATTAAAATAGATTTCATGGCTCGAGTAAAAGTTGCCGGCGCAGAACTAAGTAGAAATGGTAAACGTAAAAATTCATAATGCCCTGATTTTGTAGAAAAAGCTGTTTTATGGGTGTCTCCCTTATCAATCATTATTTGATAATAACCGCTGGCAAGATCAAGTGTAGAGAAGTACTTAGATGAGCCTAAGGATTCTAGTATCTCTAATATATTCGTTAAGCCGTATGCTTCATTTTCCGTAACCTCGTTTAATTTTCGGAAGTCCACACATACTCGTAACTTATGGTTACCGTTCAAATCTTTTTTCTTTTTTTACTACCACTTGTGGAAAATTAAATGGTGGTAACGAATTACGTATTATATTCGCGTCTTTCATTTCTTTTACTTGTTTTTCTATCTCGTCCTGATACGCGTGTTATAAGCCAGGTAGGCTTACAACGAGTTTTTGTAGAAAGTGAAGGTAACTCAAAAATAAATAACAATTAGTTAATTAATTAAGTATATTTTAAAATAAACACACACATATCGACAATGATAAGGTACGAGTCATACGCTTGTTATAAGACTGTTCGATCTACTGTCCTTTACAATGCACTTATATATCCGAATTCATATATTAATTAAACATTTTATATTCGAATTACATACTTGTGTTACTTTCCTTATGACTATAATGTTTTGTACAATTTCACAATCATTCGTATATATGTCTTAACTATATGTATGTTACTTCTATTATTAGTTTTAAAATTTTTATATATATAATAGCTTAATATTAGTATTACAAATGCAATTAGATAATATAAATATTGCTATATAGTTCGTATAATTTCCTTCTCCTTATATCTAATTTCTATATCTACTAAATTGTCTATTTAATCTATTGATTTTGATATATCATTAGTAGATTTATATACATTTTCGCGTGATTTTTCCAACTTTAAATCTTCGAGTTTTGTGTATTTTTTAATGTTGAATTATGTTTTTGGTATTTTAGACCACGGCACTATATCTATATTCCTATTAGTTGACAAATGTTTTATTGGTATTAGGACTGAATCAGATGTAAAAATCCTACAATCCTCCCTAATTTTCATACTTGCTTTTGCTTCCTCACAGTCTAATATAATATTTTCTCTTGAGACCGAATATATCCATGCGTTTTTAAATTTTAATTTATGAAATATATTCTCTACTAACGTAATATGTCGTACATGACATGTTTTTGGTATTTCTACTGGTTCCAATAGTAACTTTACCTCACACACTGTTCTTTCATGTCTATTATATATTGCTTGTCCTCCTGCACATAATTTATAATTTGGTGTTTGTCTACATTTATTTAATTCCTCTGTTCTATACGAAATGTAATTTTTATAATCTTTACTTATAGCTAAATAGTACATTTTTGGGTTAATGTACATATGAAATGGATCGTTATTTCCACTTACTGGTAATGGTATTAAATTGTATAATGTAAATTCGTAATTATCAATTAAAGGTATCCTTATCAAAAATATTAAAGTTTTATTTTTATATATACATACTACATCGGCTATACTTAATAATGTATGAGCTCCTATTATGTCCAGTGGAACTGGTAATCTCTAATGTTTAGGTATATCGTTTTCGATTTTTTTTAATTGTTCCAAAATATCTTTCGGTGTTAAAACACTAGCATGAATAACGCCCCCTTGTGCTGCTGTTACAATCTCTCCTAATAATCTACTTCAAATAATACCTGACTTATCATTAAATTAAATAATATTATTTGTTGTTCTACTAACTGTTCTAACTCTATATCCATAATTAATTCATTCATATTTTTTAATTGATTTTCTATTTTTCCAAAAATTTCATTTAATAATATTTTTTCTTTATTTATATTAAAAAATGTATTATTATAAAATTCTACATTTGACTTAACTGCATAAAATTGTTCTTTTATTATACTTAATACTTTATAATTACTTGAATGTAATTCCGAAATTTGAGTAGAAAATGTATCCGCATCTTCCTCTGTTAGAGTACCATATAATTGTTTATACATATCCCCAACAAAATTAAACCAATCCCTTTTTTTTCGTGATGAGGGTTTTCTATTGTAGTTCCTAACATAAGAAAATACTGATTTTTCCTTTTTTCTACTTCCTCTAGTAGAGTTTATTGTAGTATTCACATCATTACACTTAGCATTTTTTATTACTTTTGTTACGTTTCTACATACTACCTCAATTATTAAAAAATATTGTTTTAACGTAGTTATTCTTAAATCATAATTAGTTAAATTTACCGAAGTTATTATATTCCAATTTATATTTGTTAATTTTATTTGTCCTTCATTCTCGTAATATAAACCTGAAGTATTTGGTACTTGAGATATATTGTACGTACTGTCTGCCAATATGATATCTAATACTAATGAAGTTGCCAAAACTAACCTAAATAACAAACAAAATTCTAATTTAATATTTACTCATCAAATGCTTTCACATTGTAAATGTGAACACGTATATTTTTATTGTTTTTCCGTATTGTTATGTTCTCATTGTCATGCCACTCTACTACTTCATATGGGCCTTCCCATTTAGATGCTAATTTATTTTTCATTTGATTATTCTTCAGTAATATTTTTTTACATGATCCTTTAGTTAATGGATTCGTCGTTTTATCGTAATTATCCTTGCTTTTATTTTTATTTATTATTATAGTATCACGTGCCACCTCGTGACACTCATTCGTCGTTTCATCATGAATGAATAGTCGTCATAATTGTATTGCGGTTCTACCGGCTTCTAAAATGAATTAGGTATTCGTGGCGGATAACCATATATTAGTTCAAACGGTGTATAGTTTGTACTAGTATGAATCGACGTATTATAAGTATACATAGCATACGATATTAACTCATCCCAATCGTTTAACTTTTTATTTACAAAACTCCTTAAATATTCTTTTAGCGTCCTGTGTGACCTTTCCAATGCCCCGTTCCCCTCCGGGTGGTATGCCGTAGTGTGAATTTTTTTCACCTGTAGTAATTTGCACACGTTAGCAAACACTTTACTCATACAATTTTGCCCTTGATCGGTTAGTATGGAACTCGGTATCCCGTATGGCGTATGTACAAATCACCTGTTCTACGAAATGTTTTGAAATAGTATTCGCATCCGTTGTTTCTAAGGGTATCGCTAAACTGAATTTGGTTAAATCATCTTTAATGGTTAACAAATACTCCTTGTTATTAATCGTTTTTAATAATGGTCCTACTATATCCATTAATA